TGGGCCTTGCCATGTTCCACAATATCTGTTGCCAATTCAACCTTTGATTCCCGAACCAAGAAATCTACAACATTCTGCAGAGTATCTGTTCAGCGAAGTAACTTCTGATCCATGGCCTTGATGCAAAACCTATGGGCCAATTCATAGTCACCCTTTTCACAAAGCAAAGGGACGAGAGCGCATACCGTCACCCGATCAGCATTGCACTTACTCTCCTTGAGCCGCCAATACCAATTCTTGGCTTCGTCCAAGTTTCCATTTCGGTAACACCCAACGATGAAAGCATTGTAGCTGTGTGTATCAGCCTCGATTCCGTTATCCCACATTTCATCTAACAGCTTAACAGCATCCGCGACTCTGTTCTGCAGAAGTACTCCACGAAGTCTTGGATTGTAACTCCTGACGCTAGGAGTAACATTCTTGCTCACCATTAAATTCCATATCTTCTCTCTCTCCGATAACCTGCCGTTTCCATAAGAAGCCTCAAGCACGGTATTCCACGATATCAAATTAGGCTTAATCCCTTTGTTCTCCATCTCGTCAAGCAACGAGAGAGCAGAATCAAGATCACCCATCACGCAGTAGCCCTTAATAACTGTATTGTAAGTGCAGACATCAATCTCCAGAGGCAGTTTCTCCGGCAACAGCCGGAATATCTCGTCGACCTCATCAAACTTCTTGGAATCAACGCAGGCGGCCAAAAGGGCATTAAGGTGTACCAGCGAGGGCCGTCGAACAGCTTCCGGGCGTGCTCGAAAATGCCCGCTTTCCCATAAAGGCCGATCAGGCGGGCCGCGAACTTGTCGCTCGAGCGCGCCACGTACTGCTTCTGGTGCTTGAGGAGGTCTTCGATCAAAACGAACTGCTGGTGAGAGGCGAGGCGTCGGACGGTCTTCTCGTACGGGACGTTGTTACGACGAAAGTGGGTCGACCGGGAGAGTTTCTTGAACTTGGCGACCACCTTCTCGAGGTCGTGTCGTCCGCTGAGATGGTCTATGCGAGCGCGGGACGGTGGTTTGGCGAAGAGGCGACCGAGGCTACGAAGTACTGAAGACATAGGGCTGGGATTCCATGCACAAAGGGTTCAGAACTTCATAGAACGGTTTTTAGAACGATCCGAGTAGTTCCATGAACTTTTACTCAATATATAATTTGGTCCCTAAACTTTAAATTTATTTAATGTAGTCAACGAACTTTAACCCAATATTCAATGTGGTCCCTGAACTTTCAATTTATTAAATGTGGTCCCTAAACTTTTGGTACATATTCAATATAGTCTTTGTACTTTATAAAAATATTTAATATAGTCCTTCTATTAATTTAAGTTCAGGGACTATATTGTGTATTTTTATATAGTTCATGGACTAAATTGAATATATACCAAAAGTTCAGGGATCACATTGAACAATAGGCTAAAGTTTAGGAATACATTAAACAAATTAAAAGTTTAGGGACTTTGCACATTAAGCCAAAGTTCAAGGAATGTTCGTGTCATTATCCCTTCCAAAAAGGGTTAATACAACGAAAAATTCAAAACTAGTATGCCGTGACAATTTTATCCTCCATTAGTTTTTGTTAAATTTTACTGTCAAAATTCTGAGTTGATAACATATAACAGTTGACTGGTGTATTAGTTTGGATTTTACCCTCCATTTCTCACAGGTATACCAGTTTGTGATTTTTCGTGGTATTTTTCCAATTTAACGAAGAGTAAATTTGTTAAAAATGCACAAGTTTGGGATTTTTAGTAGTCAAAAAATTAGTTTAGGGCAAATTTATCATAGGTGTATCAGTTTGAAATTTTCTGTTGTCAAAAAATCAATTTAGGGTAAATTTGTCACAAACATACTATTTTGTGATTTTTTGTGGTATTAACCCTTCCAAAGGGTCAAAACCAAGTTTAAAGCTATGTCCAACTAGTTCGAGCTTTGGCTTAAAGATTATTTGAGATCGGTTCGCTTGAAAGCACTCCGAGTTATTTGAGTATCTTATCAAATCGAGTTTGAACTTGTTACTGCTGAACGCAACACACTTACGCAAATAATTATACTGATATAATGAAGGTAAACATCAAAATCCACAAAAAAATTTCAAAAACGAACTAAGTGTTTGAGTTTATTAAACCCAAGGCCAAGTTCATTTACGAGTTTGAGCTTTGGATACCTCGGTCCTCTACTCGAGTTGAGCTCAAGCAAGAAAGATAATACCCAATCGAGTTAAAATCAAGTTCCAAACATCGAATATGCAAGTCAAGTTAAGATTGAGCTTCGCAGTTTCAATTTGATTATATCACGGGAAAATTATCAAAAAAGTCATAAACATATTGTAATTGTGTCAATTTTATTATAAACATTTTTTTGGCCAACTAAATCATAAATATTTTGCATTTATGCCAATTCAGTCCATCCGGCCAATTTTAATCAGACATCGCTAATATGAATACTGCCCATTAGACGTGGCACTAGCAGTGCTAATGTAGATAATTTTTAATAATATTTTTAATTTTTTTGTATTTTTTTAAAATTTGTTGTTCTTTCTTTTCTTTCTTTTTCTTTTTTTTTCCTTCCCTTTTTCTTCTTCATCCTCTAGCCGGTGGGCAAGATCTGATGACTGGCCAGAGGCAAGGGCCTTAGGCAAGCCTTGTCCGCCCCTAGCAAGGGCTCTAGCGGGCCATCCATGGCCACTCGCTGGGCTAGTGAGGGTCAAGCCTCACCGACCATGGATCTGTAATCACCTGTGATCAGCCGTGGCTTAAGAAGAATGGATCCATGGCATCCTTTGAGGGCTTAAAGCGTAGGGGGTTGCCTGCCACAGGTTTCGCTCTCAAAAATGCATCCAAGCAAGTAGTCATTAGCATTCTTAGGACTACACTAGGGTGTTGCCTTGACACCAACACCGAGCAAGACAAAAGGAGTTCCTCCACGAGCGATTGCACTGGCATGTTGCCTTGACGCCAACACTAAGTGACCTTGCGGCCTCTAGCAAGGGCTCGAGCCTTGCTAGTGGCTAGGTGAGGCATGACCTCGTCAAATCTGGCAAGGTCGGGCCTCATGCATGGCCAACAAGGCTCGACCCTTGCCAGATTCGGCGAGGAAAAGCCTCCCCAACCTAGTGAGTGACTTGGGCGAGGCTCGCCCGAGGCAAGCAAGGTCAATCTCGCTGCCCTTGCCTTTGGCAAGTTGTCGAGGTCCAACGACCGGCTAGAGGAAAAAGAACAAGAGAAGAAAACGAAAAAGAAAAAATAATTAAAAATTTTGAAAAATATATTATTAAAAATTATCTATGTTAGTGCTGGTTGTACGACGTAGGATGGTCGGCATCCATGTCAGATATTTCCATTGAAAAAAAAACAGCTGAATTGGCACAATTGCAATAGATTTATGATTTTTTTTTATAATTTTCCCAAAATAGTCGAACATGTCTTTTCGCATTCTTCTCTAGTTTTAAATTTTTATTTATTTATTTTGTGCATATGAACATCTGACAATAACTTTTCTTCTCACTATTAGAAGAAGTTTAAAAATTTGTTATCTCAAACTTCTTGTGATATTGCTAATCCGGGAAGTGTATTCCTCTGGACACTGCGACATTTTTCCTTGGGGAATTACACACTAAGGACGGTATTTACTCAAGAACAAAACCTCATTTTTTTTTTGTATTTCCTCTTCAACCACAATTTTCTAACACATTTAGTATAAAAGAATAAATTTTAGACGCACAAACAGAATTTATCAAAAGGGAAAAGGGAAATAACTAGCAGGTCATATGAGAGATTATGCTGAGGAGGATAAATGATGACTATATGCAAAAAGAGTATAAAATCCTAATGGACAATATATGTATGGGAAATGGGAAACTGAGTAAAAAGAAATTTAGAAAAATTGCATCAAAAATATTAAAAAAATTTAGTTAAGAAAAGAGTAGAAAAGAGCCAAGCCAAGAAATAAATATAAAATTGAACAAAGAGATCTATGAATCATATGTATAACCCTTTGGTAGGCAGTTGTTTGTAGTTCTGTGTCCAAAGTATCCTTTTCATCCTTATATGTGAACTGTTAGGGCAATTGGGTACCTAAATTATGTGGTGATCTTATTATGGAGATCTATATTTTCATTGCCGATCCTCAGTTCTTTATACTTAAGTGTTCATATATTATAATTTATCTATACTCTTGATACATCTTTCACAAAAGGAAAAATGACGAGAATTACGAATAAGCACTCGGCATTTTGAAACTTCTAATAACATTCACCATAGTCAAGAACGATATTGAAAATTAAAACGGAGGCTTCATTAATTAAAAACATACGTATATTTCGATATATGTAAAATTTTAGTTACATATATATGTGTGTGTATATATATATTAAAGAAAGCGTTTCCAAGTTCCAAAAGAATGATGATGCATTCTGTTACTGTTTTGGTAAGTCGAGTACACAACTTTTCCATTGCCTCACGTCTTGGAGAGCACATGAACTAGGCGTCTATGACTGAGGCTCGTTCGTTCTTTTCAGTCAAATATGATCAACTGCTCATATAAAACCTAACATTGATCACACTTCCCCATACTGATCAATAAGCCCTGTTGTGTACAATGATCAGGGAAACCCTTTGTCTATCTACTGGAAGTGTGCATGATTCCCATCATTCTACTCAGTAATTACTCATCCCTTGAATATCCTACAAGAAGCTAATATGAATAATATTTTTCTCTCTTTTTGGCTTTTGGGGTTTTGTCATAATTGAGATTGCCCAACAGAATGGAATGAACAACTGGACTGAACTACCCAACATATTTGCAGCAGTAAGATGAGAACTCACAGCAAACAACAGAATCTCTCTCCTACATGGCATGCTACTCTGGTGAGGCTGAGCTTTATATAACCAATCCAGGACAAACTCCCATTCCGAGTACTTCTCATTCTCAATGCCTCCTCCTCAGCAAGATTTATCCCAATTGGTCACTCACTTGAACTTCAGTCCATCCTTGATTTGTGCCATGGATGGACTGTGCTTAAGTGAAATTGGAGGTTACGAGAATGGAAGGATTGGCCAAGGGCAGCTCGAGGATGACGACGACGACACTCAATACAAATCCAAGAACCTGGAAGCTGAGAGGAGGAGGTGATTAAAGCTGAACCAGAGGCTCCTGAAGCTACGCTCATTAGTCCCGAAAATCACAAATGCAGATACCCACGAACCGACTGATCATTTTTGAGCAGACATATACGAGTATAGATTCTGACCCCTTGAATTTTATTGTGCTTTTGTGTCTGTGTCAGATGAATATGGCAACAATTTTAGATGATGCGGTGAGTTACATAGTGGAGCTGCAGAAGAATGTGAAGGCCCTGAGTGACCAACTTCTCGAAACAGAGGCACCATGTGAAGACGGGCCAAAGGCATTGGTCGATGAGATTGACGCAGCGCAAGATATGGAAGCAAATGGGATTAAGGTTTAGAAATTCGACCTTGCATTGTCTTTTGATGCTGACTTTTGAAACTGATTGGTCTAACTCTTTGTTAGTGAGTGCGCAGCCAGATGTTTGGGTAACCAGCATCGACGAACATAAGCTGTGGATTAAGATCTGTTAGTTTTATTATTAGATAATTAGCAAGTTGGGTTTATTTTAGGAAAGGGTATTTAGGTCTTTGTATCAAGGCTTAACCCTAAGCCTATATATACTTGGTTTATCTCAATAATAAAGTAGAACTCTTTTACCAAATTACATGGTATCAGAGCATCCTGTCACCTCCAAAGAGTCTGGCTCAGAATAACCAGCTACATTAAGATGACCCCGATTATGGAATACAAGCCCTTGACCGGGCTCCCTTCAAATATCGTATAATATGTAAGACAGCTTGCCGGTGAGTAGTACGAGGAGAGCTCATGAACCGACTCACCACACTAACAGCAAATGAGATATCTGGACGAGTAATGGTAAGATAATTCAACTTGCCTACCAACCGACGATATTTTTCTGGATCATGAAGAAGCTCCCCGTGTTCGTTATCAAGCTTCACCCCAGGGTCCATAGGTGTATCACCAGGCTTAGCATCGTGCAAGCCCACCTCCTTAAGAATATCAATGGCGTACTTTCTCGAGAAAGAGCAATACTATCACCAGTATATGCAACTTCGATACCGAGAAAATATCGAAGTAGACCTAAGTCTTTAGTATTAAACTCCTTAGTATGGATATCCTGTTAAATGCTTACGTACAGATAATGCTCGTGAGTATTTTTCTTCTTCCACCTTTCTTCCTTTCCTTGAATCTCGTGGTATTTTACATCGAGTTCTTGCGCTCACACTCCACAACAAAATGGAGTTGCTGAACGTAAGAATCGTCATTTACTCGATGTTGCCCGGTGTCTTCTTCTTCATACACATGTACCTAAATCTTACTGGAGCTATGCTATTCGTACAAAGCATGTCATCTTATTAATCGTCTTCCATCTTCTGTGTTAAAGGGAGCTGTTCCTTTTACTCTTCTTCATCCTAATCAACCTTTATGGTCTATTCGTCCTCGTATTTTTGGTTGTGTCCTGTTTTGTCCATCGGTTGTCTCCGGCCTAGACAAATTATCTCCCCGTGCTGAAAAATGTGTCTTCGTTGGTTACTCTCGTACCCAAAAGGGTTATGTTTGTTATAATCCTACTTCTCGTCGAGAGTACGTCTCGCTGATGTTACCTTCTTCGAGGATCGGACATTTTTTGGTAATGTTTCTTGTCCCGCACCTTGTCTTCCTCACCTTCTCAAACATTGTTAGTTCCCCTACCTATATCTCCAGCGAATCACCATATGTCTCTTCTGTTGTTCCATCAAATCCAAGTTCATCTCACCACTACAGTGTCTATACACGTGGTCCTCGCCGTGCTTGGAATCATGACTCTCCATCGGACGCCTCACCACTATCTCCGGCCCCGGCTTCGATCCTCTTCCATCACCTCCGCTTGACTCTCCTGTTGCACACCGTACTCGATCTCGGTATCCTCTTGCTCATTTTGTGTCTTATCATAATTTATCTCCTCAAATGTCATCATTTGTGTCGTCTCTCGCATCGTATGCGTGCCCAATAGTGTGCGGGAAGCTTTAGCTCATCCAGATGGGCTGGTTGTCCCGTAGATCGCCGGTCTATATCGAGTCTGTGTATTCCTTGGAGGTAATCTTGTGTCGTGGAAGAGTAAGAAACAATCGATTGTTTCTCGATCTAGTGCGAAGCGAAATATCGTGTTATGGCTAACGTTACAAGTGAGCTTCGGTGGATTCGTATGTTGTTGGATCGAGATTGGATTACATATGGCAGGATCGTCTACTCTCCATTGTGACAATCAATCGCCATTCATATTGCTAGTAATCCAGTGTTTCATGAGCGAACTAAGCATATAGAGATTGATTGTCACTTTGTTCGGGAAAAGGTGAATTGTGGTGATATACAATGGTACATACACGGTCCGAGGAGCAATTAGCAGACATTTTCACGAAACCTCTACGGCGTGGACGAGTTTCATATATTTGCAGCAAGTTAGGTCTTTTTGATATGTATGCCCCAACTTGAGGGGAGTGTTAGTTTTATTATTAGATAATTAGCAAGTTGGGTTTATTTTAGGAAAGGGTATTTAGGTCTTTGTATCAAGGCTTAACCTAAGCCTATATATACTTGGTTTATCTCAATAATTGTCACGCCCGGACCCCAACGGGCTCGCGACACCCCTTCAACGGTCGTATTAAACGCGACGTCCCAGGGCACGTCGCCGACCCAAACGAAACACCCAACGATAAAGGCAAGCGGAAGCGAAATTAAAACGACCTGCACAATAAAATATGACAAAGGGATAGCACAAAACAATAATTCCAAATACACAACATCAAAAGGGAATAGTGGTGGGGTATCCTACTTCGCTATACAAAAGAGGGGCACACAAAATATGGGGTAACTTGACCCGTCCTCCATCCCCGAGATACCCCGGTGGCGTCTCCAATCAATCACGGTCATAGATCTGAAAATGGTTATATAATAACCGTGAGAACGAGTCTCAATAAGCAATCTCCTATACCCCACATAGGCCAATGCGTACCGCACAAGTTGTAACATGCAATCTAACCGATAACTTATATATAATTCACATCAATGGACTTACCTCGCCATCCAATCACATGCCCACACTGTACATTAGTCAAATCACATTAGTGCATCCAGCAGAGCTCATATTCGAGATCACACAAGGAAATTTTCCATGCATCATACAATAACACTCGCGCGTGTCTCGATTATAAAGTAAAACCACTTGGGCACGTCCCATATCATGCCTAGCGAGATTCACCTCATAATCAAACACTATGCAACATGCGTGGTCCAGCCAACTTTCTCACGACCTCCCGTGTCCTTTCACACTTGCCCGCGCCACCGCGCCTCGGGCCCATTCTCACGACCCGCGCTCTGCGCCTCGGGTCGCCCCTCGAGATCAAGCCGGGCTCCGTCCCTCACTGGACATTTCACACTTTCCCACGACCCGCGCTGCGCCTCGTCCGCCCTCGAGATCAAGCCGGGCTTCGTCCCGCGTAACCACGCCTCGGACATTTTTCCCTTTCCAATGACCCGCGTAACCTACGCCTCGGGTCTAACTCACCTTTCACGGCCGCGTAAACACGCCTCGCTCGGCCTCCGATCGATCCGGGCTTTTCTCATGCACATGCACCACAATACAAAATTCACCATGCTCTTGGTCATATAAATCAATTTCAATCACCACCCATTCACCAATGTCAATCTAGCACGCCACATCAGTCAACTCAATTCATGCTCTCGACATCGGCCCACCGACCCGACATTCAAGTCGGCACATTCAATTAATCCAATTCACCCACAAGCGCCACGACAATTCAGATCAGTGCATATTTATCTCGATCAATCACTAAATCAGCCGCACAATTATCGCCATAATAATTCACCAATTAAGCACAATCGCCTAATTAGCCCACGCCTAATTAGAGTCCTAAGCCGCACTAAATTTCACCCTAAACAAGTCTAAAAATACCCAAAGTACTAGGTAAGGTTTAGGAAGTCACTTACCTAAGTTTGGCCCGGAAAAGTCGGCTCGGGCCCAAAATGGCCCGGGTGAACAAGACCGGATCGGGCGCGGGCGCGGGCCAACAGGCGCGGTGGCCGGCCAATGCGGGCACAATGGCCGATCGGCGTGCCCCGCGCTGGCGCGATGGCCGTGCGGCGTGCCAAGGGGCGCACGGGCGAACGGACGGGCGACGCGCCCTAGCGGACGGCGACGCACACTGGTCGGACGGGCACGGCGCGGGCGAGCTCGGCCACGGCGCTCGGCCATGGGCACGAGCCCTCGGCCACGGGCACAAGCACGGGCACGGGCGCGGAACGGGCACGGCGACGGGCGCGCGGCTTGGTCGCGTGGGCGACGAAGGCCACGCTACGGCTGGCCGGGCTGGCCTGGTCGGGCTGGTCGGGAGCAGCGGCCGCGACGCAGCGACGCGGCGGCGACGAGCTGAACAGGGAGAAAGAGAGTGAGCCGGGGGTGAGGGTGAGGGAGAGAGGGATCGGGCCGAGGGGGAGAGATGGCGGACCGGCGGTGAGCCGGCCGAGGCGCGAGCAGATGGAGGAGCCGGCCGCGAGCGCAACGACGGGGACAATGCTGCGGCGACTCGGCAGCGACTAGCCAGCCGGCGGTGGACGGCACCGGGACGGTCGAGCTCGATCGGCGAGCTCCCAAGTGCACGAACAAGCGAGCGGCGAAGGCGACGGGCCGAGCTCCGCGGCGGCGGATGGATGGCGAGAGCGGAGCAAGGCGGCTCAGCTGCGGCAGCGGCCGAGACAAAACGCAGCTGGCGGCGGCCGAGCTCGCGCGCTGGGAAGGAAGGGAGGCGGCGTCGGGCGGGGCTATCGGGCGACACGGCGGCGCGAGGAAGACGGCGCGGCGGCGCTCGGCGGTCGAGGGCGGGCTCGGGCGGCGGTCGGCTGGCGAGCGAGGAGCGGGGCGAAGCGGAACCGCAGCCGGCGAAGAACAAGGAAAAGAAAGAAGAGGAAAAGAGAAGAAGGAAGAGAGAAGGGAGGAGAGAGAAGAAGTGTGTCGGGGGGGTTGGTCTGCATGGGGAAGACGTGCGCGCAGAGGAGGAAAGAGAGAGGGAAAGAAGGAGAGAGAGAGAGAGAACAGACGTGATGATGGAGGGGGGGTGAACGTGCGCGGAGGGGACGTGCTCAGCGCGGCAGAGGGCGGAGGGAGAGAGAGAAAGAGAGAGAGAGAGACGTGCGCAGGAGGGGACGTTGCACGGGGGGTGGGTGGCGCGGCGCAGAGGAGAAAGGAGAGAGAGAGAAAGAAAAAGCTAATATTTATCCTCGAGCGCGAACCAACGAGACACGGTTCAAACTAAATATTATTCTAACTCATCGCGATTCAAACCCGGAAAAGATCTAACTGTCCCGAAAAATCCCAAACAATAATATAAGACAACGGGCCAAAATAAAATAACTCGAAACACACTACGAGGGAGGTCTACCAGTCCAAATTCGCACCCGGTCCAAAATTTCACTTTTCCACTATTCCCGGCAATCTCGAGGTCCACAATAATATCGACACTATCCAATTAAATTCTTCCGAAACTCCCGAAAATCGACTGCCAAGTTTGGGATCTAAATAACGGCCAAATTCGATCAAGTGCGATTCTAGCGAAATCTCTAATTTTAAAAACAATAACCCAGGAGTGATCGATTCCGGGCGAGATTTTATTATAAGCGCACGACGAATTACACGTTTATAAATCCCAAAAATGGGCCAAAATCCGGAATGTCACAATAATAAAGTAGAACTCTTTTACCAAATTACAAGATCATAATCCCGAAGAGAAGGAGCCGATTCACCAAGTTGTTGGAGACGCTGAACATTTGCGGTTTTGAACTGACCGATACCAGCGTCACGGCATTTAAAGGCGCAATGCTCATATCGTCATGTATGGAGGTATGCTCAATAAGAGCAAATGACCTTTGGCAATTGAACATGGTTGATCAATGATATGTGATTAGGAGTTATGTGGTTTGTTTTCAGGCGACTTCTGCCGAAATGCTTAAGGCTTCACGGACCAAAGACTTGGTCCAAGAGATCATCAAAGGCATTTAATCAGCCATAAACTTCTATAATAAGGAAACATTTTCAGGCATTATAAAATGAGGGACACATGTCCTATTTTCTGTTCTTTTGCCTGAAATACATTATCCTATGCAGTTATGATTTATGTAAAGAGTAGTGAAATTAATTCCTTAAATTCAGCATTTGCAGAGTCGGATTAAAGCTTGAAATCCATGCATAAAAATGAGTTACATTTTTGACACGTAACAATAGGATGATTGATCTACTGTGGAATCAAAGATCCCCATGAACAGGCGGAACAAATTTGACAAATGATTCATTTTTAGTGCATAGTGTGTGATAATAAGTGACCCTCAAGAAGCTAGTCATTGAAGTAGTAAGCTGTCTTCAGTTTATCATGCCTGTCAAGAGAGGCAATAAAAGAAATCAGGAACATGAGATACCAAACAGAGTTTTATAATGTGATCTGACTCTTGCCTCAGGACGGACTCACTCAAAACTCTTTTCGTATTTTACATCACGATACAAACTTCCCAATCTGTTCATTTCCATGTGACTATGATTTTGCAGCTGAGATTTATCATATTCCGATTCACTGATTTGTTTACAGTCGGTGCACGCTTGTCCCATCGTAATAGAGCATTACATATCCAACAAGACAGAGAGGTATTCCCTGCAAAAGGGAAGAAAGCATCTAATTTAATACTATTCTTCTTCACAAGAGTGCTGAACGATCCTGAGACTGCGTTATAAAGACAGTTGTTCTTGCTTGTCTTATGTAAGCTGACAATCCATCTTCTTCTCTGACTGCATATAAAAATAATGACTTAAAAGTCTCAATACATGGTCCTAAGATGTTTCCCCAGATCAAGCCTATCCAAACACAACCTCCCCTGATAAATGCTAAAGTATCTGCCTAAGTTTTTCTCCATTCTCTCATTGATTTTTAGTCTTTAGACCATGGTCGTACCAGCTTTTTCGAGATTACTTTACAAAGAAGGGATCAATTCAATCCTACCCGTTCCCTTATATATAAACCTCTCTTTTCTCATACATTTGCATTGCTCTGCATCTTGGTCCAAGAATCCTTCGAGGCAGCAATTACATGGCTTGGCTGCATCCAGTCATGTATTTTGCAATAGCCATGTTTTTCATGTTCGTGGCTGAGACATGGGCAAATGATGATTCGGGCATGTCAGGATTACCGACAGAGAGAAGTTTATATCCGCCTGCTCTGAGCCCGGCTCCATCTGAAGGTGGGATCCGATCAAGCATGATGGCAGAAGCTCCAGTGATGAGAGCCACGAGAAGAGTACAAAGGCATCATTCCTCTGGGGCGGCAGGTGGGGATGTGATCCTGGGAGGATTTGTGATGGCCTTGGTTGTAGTAGTCTTGTGCTACATACGGGTTACAAGAAAGAGCAAAGAGACCGATCAGGTCTGAGAATCTCAAAGTTTTGAGTCATTCACATCTGATGTTTATTCTAGCCCAGCGATTTTGATTAGTATATGAAATGGGCATCAGAAGGTGTCTGCAAGGATGGTATTAGTGCATCGTAATAGAAGAACTTTTAGTGCATTTGTAAATAGAAAAGAGGTAATTTGTACGTTATATTGATTGAGGGTTTAGTTTAGAATGATCAGATCAAGTAACGACTCCATAATACTACAACCGCGTTGATATCTTTATGTATAGTCATGAGGTGATGCACTTTCACATTTTGCTCTCCTGGTCTCAAGTCCAGATTGGTTGTTGACATGCAGTAAGTTTGTTGCCTTGGTCAGGCATTACGGATAATCACAATTCATCAACGCACCGACAGATTTATCCAATGGGATATTAGGAAAATCATATGAACAGCCTAAATCTCTTTACTATATGGGATGCAATTCAAACATACTCTGAGACACGATATCACAATCCAAGAATTACAGTTACAGATGACAATTAGTCCAGAAAGTTATCAAGGAATACTTACTAACCATCACTATCAACTTGGTAATCAAACACTGGAAGTATCCAATTAAGTGGTACACTACAAACGGATTGAGTGGAGAAGGTGAGGGAGATTGGAAGTATACGTGCTTTATGTGCACCTAAAACACCTTAGGCTTGAGTAAGCACCCTAAAGAAAGAAAGAAAAAAAGAAGGAAAAGCGAAGAAGTTATAGCTAATACACAACACAAGCAAAGGCACCTGAAAACACTACGAAAATAAAATCTTACCATGGAAGCATGGTTTGAGTAAAGTATTGAGTGAAGTAGTGAACAAATGGCTAAAAGAATCGAGTGCCGGTTGCTGGAGATTGAAAATTTTTAAGAATGATATAAAATTAAAGCAGAGCTCTGGTGAACAGAGAGGTCATGAGCGATGCAGTGCAAGAAAGATATGAGCTGTTATGAGCGATGCAGACATATGGAAAAGCAGAGCACCTCAAAGCTTACGTTTATTTTGTTTTGTCCCTTGCTTTGACTAGGCACCGTTTACACTATGCCTCCCAAGTCCAACCAAAGAACGAGATTTCTCCAGTTTTGATTGCCCTAGTCAATAGTCTTGAAAATCCAACTTCTTGGAAACTCCGTGGTCATGCATGCTCAATAAAGTATTACATTGTAGAATGAATAACAGCATTGAATTTGATTTCTTGCCTTGCCTATTCATGCCAAAAGATTTGAATTAAGTATGAACTGTGATTCTGGAAAACATATTGCGAGTTACATCTTTTCTGCGAAAGTTGGACCTTATTAAGCACTTGACTATTCCTGACACATTGTGTAGTCTCATCGTCTTCCCGAACATGCCCGATTAATCAGCATGACGCATTCTTCAAGTATAATCTTCGAATTCAACAAGATGTCGATTCCATATGATATCCGTCTTTTCAATGATTTCTTAGACCCTTTAAATTGTTTTGTTACTTTCATATGTGCGGCCTCGTATGTCCGCTCAATCTGTCATGTGTCTTCACTGGCATTCGTATAACATAACAAAAGTTAGCTATTAAACTCTGGCAGCAGAGAACATGAGAAGCAGAATTATGATACAATATCATGTGGTTTTTCCTCATGCTCAGGCGACAATCTAGGGTCTATGCCTGCATGATATCAATCTTTAGTCATATTCCATGGAAATGGTTTGACCAATAGACGAGAGATAAGTGAGATTAATCTGTTACATTTCTTTCTTTCTTTCTTTTTCTTGTGCTTTATGCAAGATAATAAAGAACAACCAATCAGGATCAAAAGATTGAATCCAAATGGCTTGAGGGCTTCACCAACTTTGATTCACAAACTCATCCCCGACATACAACTTTGATATCTCTGTTTACTATTTTCATCTATCTAATTTGCGAACTTCATTTCCTCGTGCATTTTTACAAGCAAACCTCAGAAGGGAAAGAAGAAAAGTGAAAGCAAACACCCAAAACTCCCAAAAGATGCTGTACGAACTGTAAGTTCTCTGACAAACAAAATTGGAACTGACTTTCATCTCAGGGCTTCAAATCCGATTTTCTTCCTCCCAATATTTGGCTGCAGAACCTCCAAATCTGCAACAGCAGTACAAAACGTAAAATAATTAAAGTAACGACAATCTGTTTCCAGTTCTCAACAGAGCACAAGAAACTAAAAAGTTCGAACTTTATCTTTCTGCCTTAAACATAAAAGGATGAGAGAGAGACCTGGAGGCCTACACACAGGAGGGTCATCAAAGAGAGAAAGAGAGAGCTGCTTATGAGCAACCCCAATATCAAACACTATGACACCAGAAGATGGATCGTCCACCATAATATCCTTCACTGGAAGCCACAGAAACAGCTCTTTCTGAGACAGACCCTTCATTCCCATAAGCTTACCTAACACCAATCAAAACCCAAAAGCCAAAACCATCAGAACAGAGAAAAACCCAAGAAAGAGATTGTTTTGCTGAATTATGGCTGTTGTTTTGTGCTACCATAAGTGAGGTTGGCTCTCACAACACTGTCGAAGTAGACTCTGGTGTCGAACTTGGCAAGGCACGGACGGTCCAAGATAACTTCCAGGAGGCCATCTGGGTGGAGCGTGAACGACTTGACATCGTGGGGGAAGAGCCCTCCGGGCAAGCCTTGGCTTTGGAGGAGGTTTTGGATGGAGTTGGAGGAGGAAGATGAAGAGAGAGCGGATTCAGGGAAGACGATGAGGAGAGAGAGAAAGAGAAAGCGGAAAGATATGTGTGTCAGTGACATTCTTGCGAATGGGAAGAGAGTCTGGGCTGGTGATGACATTGGTGTGGTGTGTTGGCTCAGGTTTCAATCAGGTTTCATGTTAATATATGCAAATAAATTTAACAAAAAAGAGGAAAAAAACATATGGTGCCTTCGCCGTCTTACTATAATATTATGGAATGAGATTCAAGAATTGAATTTTTTATTCAAATGATCGGCTGGCAAATATATATTTATTTATCTTTCTCATGTACCAAATTGCTCCCAAAGTTCAAACGTTCAACAAGAAAAATGATGATTATATTCTCTTCGCTGGCCTAGTGCTGGACAGAGCCTCCCAGACAAAATGAAGTGGAAGACCAAAAGGTCATCACTTTCTGCCCTTTACTAAAAGCCACATTGATTACAGTCCAATTAAAAAAGCTTTTAAAAAAAACCAGTTACAGCCATAAGTAGGTCCATGTAAATGATTTGGTGATTTGAACTGGCATTAAATTTTGGATTAATGCCATTAAAAATCTCAAAACTGATTTCCACGATATTTTTATCTGAAATTAATTTTGCCCAATAAAAAAAAAAGGGGACGTTTTTCCCAGTCCCGAATCCTACCCCTTCTTCTTAGTTACTTCACTATGTTCTCTCTGCGTGCATTCTCGGTCCTTTTCCTTGTTGGCTGGCAGCCATGAGAAACAAACTGAATGGATGCACCGAGAGCAATACATGAGACTTTGGGTATCCCATCATCCATTGCACCCTGTTTTAGTTTAAGTACAACCCAAGAGATGAGTAGCTAGGTGGCTTGAGTGTACTGAGGCAGATGCAGACCACCCCTCCACTGTTTTCACCTCCTTCTCTGTCTGCCCCCCAGCATGACCTATGAATTGAAAAAAACCAACAAGAATAACAACAAAATAGTCAAAATCTGAATTGGATTAGTGTACTATAACTGCATTGATGGTGATGGCGAGGATTGTTGTTTGGGAGTGGTGACGGAGCTCCAAAGTCTGAAGTGGGAGCTCAGCACATTAGGCATGAGGCTCCCCTTCCCATTGAGGCCAGCCCGTGGAGCCACCCTAATGGCGAAAGCCTCTCCATACCCAGGCTTGGAGTCCGCCTTCATCTCCAGCACGCGTGAGCCGACCATTCACGGTGGTCAGCGAGGATCGGGGAGAGGGGGCCAGCCTCGGGGTGGGAGAGGCGTGAGTTGAGGAGGTGGAGGAGAGTGGTAGAGACGAGCCAAATTGGAAGGAGAGTTCCTGGGAAGGAAGCTAGTTGACGGCAATGATGACGTTGATTGATCGGAGGTGGTGATACTCATACTCCTGTTGGTTCGATACGGTGGGATTGTCTTCTTTTTCTCGGTCGTCAGTGTTTACCATTGCCATTACTGTTGCCTTGAGAATCGCCAAAGAGGGGCCACTGCTATGCACAAAGAGGAGAAGAATGAATAGGACCCGCGAGAAAAGAAGAGGAAGAAACCAAATAAAATGAGGGGGGGCATATTTGAACCTTTGGATGCCAAAAAAGTGGAACCCACAAGGATAAAATGGTAAAAAATGCTATAAAAGGAAGAGTATTAGCGAAAGAAGGAGTGGAAAAAGGAAGACCCCAAAAAAATCTTGGATTGATCCCCAGGCTCAAATTTACTCTTCATTAACATTTCGTCCGATATCACATTAAAAGGCAATGCGTTTCAATACACGTGGTTTGCCGACCAAAAAGAAAAACACATGTGATAAATGATTGCAAGACGGATCCAACATGAAACTCCATATGCGTTGACACGTATGTTTTTTTAACAAAACATTGGATAAAATGCTAATAGTGGTAGATTTGGATCGAGGATACCGGTTTGAAATTTTTATTTTACGAAAATGAGTTTGAGATAAATGGCCCTCAAGACTACCATTTTGGGATTTTAAATTGTACTAGTTCTTAAATTTATTGCAGAGAAGTCTTTTCCTTATCTTCCTCCAATTCTATGCAGAAGAATATTCAGGTCCACATATTTTGTAGCCTATCAATTAGTTTTACTAAATGCAGGTCCACATATCTTTGAAGATTATCAATCCGTTTTATTCTTTTATATTTTTGTTATTTTTGGGAGATACGGCTTGACGTCGTTCTCTGGAGGTACTACAAGCAAAATCAAATACGATAAAGAAGCATACTTTCATACTTCACTCCATCATATCGTAAACAATGAATTAGTTGTCACATCGATGACAGTAACGATTGAACGCTTAATCATAAAATAAACTTTCATTATTCATATTTTTTCTCTTATGACATGTAGTCATTAGATTCATGCTTCACGCTTGCCCGATTATTTTGTCCAACATTGACACCTAAACTTTGACCATTCATAATTACACGGCAAAATTAGGGGCTAAACTTTAGCCCCTAGCAAAAATAATATAATTATATAGTTATATTTGCATCGGACCGATAATGAATGGAATGAATGAATTTGAACTTAATTGAACTAATTGGACTGAGCCCACGATAACATATAATTTTGGCCAAGCCCATTAAAAATCTTTATGGCCGAAAGAAATATTGTGGCATATCTTTATGTCCTCGTTCACGGCAAGATTTAAAAGAAGAGGAGGCACCACATGGAAAGCAATATTCTGTCAAGAGGAAAAATAGTCAAAATAAGATATATACAATCACCATACAAAGGAAGAATATCTGCTACCACCTCTTGCTCGCTCCATCACACTTGTTGCCCAACTCGTTGCTGTGCGCGTCCTCCGTCACACCACCATCGCTGAAGCTTTTGCAGCCACCCGACGTGCGTCAGCCCCGTCCGCTGCCCTGCGCCACTGCCGTGCCCGCATCAGGTCATCATCGGCCTCGCTCGAACAGGTTCCAGCGAGAGATCTAGCAGCCCCGGCTTTTTCTCTGCTGCATTGACCAGCCCCTCGTGCCCCACTGATCCAGAACAGCCTCAACCGACGCCCTCAACGGTTCGCTGCAGCATCTGCATTGTCATGGCAGGGCTGATGCTTCCAGCCAGCACTTCCCGGCGAGATCTCAGCCCCGTGTAGCATCCTGATACCAGCCGCCGTTCATCACCTTGCCAACAACACCAACGGGCCACCAAAAATTTCAGATTACATCTCTGTGCGCTAGGTGTCTTTTGCAGGTCTATCCAGCGAGTTTCTCACCACGACCAGCCTTGGTCGTGCCACTTAAATCTGCAGCAACGTGTCTGGTCCCACACAGCCGAGATCCATCCTACAAAGTTCCGGTCTTTATTTTTCTTGCAGGTTTTCTTTTGGCGTGGTTTTGTAATTGTCCTACGGTCTCATTCGTCCCTGCACCTCGCTGAACATCCAGCTGTGCTGGACGACCTCAATAGCAAAATCAATAGTTCCGCTGGTCCAGTACCGAGAGCCACCCCATCGGCCAGCCACATCGAGGCCACCATCATCGAGTTGAAGCACCACCATGGCACTGCCATCCGGGAGCCGGCCACCGCAAAGGATAGTGATCCGAAGCCAAAATCCGTTGAGTCCGAATTTGGAAGTGAATATTGGAATTAGGTAAAAATCTTATCTCATTTGATCTTCAAGTACTTTGTTTTCTTATTATAGTTCGTGATGAGATTTGGTGAATCTCTAAATGATATTGTCATTTCCATGAAAACTCTCGAATAACCTTTAAATTATTTCCTAATTTCATAACGTGCTATGGTCGTCAATTTGATCTCATACCCGAGATACGATTCACGATCGCACAGAAAATTGGTCGTCAACCTGATCTCATGCTTGAGATATGATTCGTGACGATACGGAAAATTGGGCAATCCGATCCTCATGCCCGGGATACAATTTGTTGATTTATTTTCCAAATTTAAATGGGTATGGATGATTTATTGGGTGATTGGATGCTATATTTGATTTTGGTTTGGTCTTTATCTTAATTTGATTTGATTCTATGTTACAAAAAAAAATACCAAAAAGATTAGATATGATCAAGGTAAATTTTAATAGATAACATTGCATGTTAAATAGGTTTTAGATAATCTTTCAAAATAAATTAGAATATAGGTTATAATCTTTCCTTTCTATAAAAACTGCTTGCCATGACAGGGTTTATCTAGTTAGGATAACATTCCGACTTAAATTAGGATTTGTCTTATTTAATTCCTAAAATGAATTGGATAATATCTTAATCTAGGTAATTTATTTTCATTATTTTCTAATTATGAACTTTAATAAAAAATAGAAAAATACCATGTGCGTGTCATATAGTTTAGATTACATCATCTATACTACCTCATCATGTGTGCCACGTCATTGCCATGTTATCATGCTATGCCATGTCATTTAGTGATTATACATTTAGAGACATTCCATGCGTGTCATATTAGAAATGATTTTTGTCCATCACTAGAATGAAGTCATGTAGTTAAATATTTGCCAATCATATTAGAATAGTCCATTTAATTGTCATTAGAAATAGGACATTTGGGTAAATTGTATGTCGCATGTCATGTTAAATTAGTAGCATGCATTGCATATGGTTTAGTTTTCACTAAATAAGAGAAAATCCTAAGAAAAAATTTGAGTGGAATTGCGTGTTTTTAGAATTCATATTTAGGGTGATGATGTGATTTACTAGCTAACATTGCAGATACTTTCGTTCATTTGAGGTAAGTGTACCATTCCTATCTTGCAATTTATTTGTTGCTCTGATTATTGGGTGTTACAACAATGGTTGCGTATCCGTATGATCACCTCGCATGTTAGTGAATAGGTTTAAAATCAATCCAAGTTGCCTAACAAACATTTTTCTGAAATAAGAGAGAAAGGTATTGAAAGGGTGTTAGAGTAATTTAGCATAACAAAGTCTCCAAATCCATAATCTTTAGTTCGCAGAAGTAAAGTAAATCTCCCAATACTTTACTTGGGGTTCTAATTGACCCACCGAATAAAAGATTAATGGTGACTCCTAATTGAAATGAGCTTGCATGTTCAATAACTTGCACTTAAGTTGCGAATTAGTATGGGATTAGAAGAGCCCGAGTTAAGTATAGGTATAATAATCCATTAGCCGAACCTCTTGGTGGTGCACCGCTGGGGTAGGTTGTGACACCCAAGATTTATAATATTACTCAGTTAGGTAAATCATACTTCATCGTTTGTAATCATTCTTAGGCTAAACGTCCTCTTTTGTCTTTTATTTAACTACCATCATACATAGGTAGGTACTTACTACAATATTGTAATGTTCACTCTCATTAACTGTCGCATCCATGGGGTGCTAATTGATGCCCTGGCAAATTGAGTTAGTCGGGATTGTTGTTTGAAAGAGAGGGACAACATTTCTTGGTTTATGAAGAGAAAAAATCACCAAAAGAGCTTTAAACTTACTGTACGGATGCCAATTTAGTCTTAAACTTTTCAATTTGGCCAATTTAATCCTAAATTTTTTAACGATTTGCCAACGTAGTCCTTCTGGTCAATTTTAGCCGGCAATTGCTAACAGGATTATTAGCCATCCTACATAGCATGATCGGCTCTATCATGGATAGTTTTTGCATTTCTTTTCAATTTTTTGAATTTTTTATAAATTTTTGATATTTTAGAAAGTAATTAAAAATTATTCGTGATTTTAATTTATCCTTCAATAAGAATCACAAGTCATATCATAGTGATATTTATCACATTTTCAAAATACAAAAAATTAAATTCATAAGGTACATGCATAAAATGTGTGAGCTAAGGCTAGGCTCTATGAGGTCTAATGCGCTGCTAGGCTCACATAGAGAAAGTACATAGAAATGTTTGAGTTGCTCGGGCAGGAGGAAAATTTGGGAACCGAGCTATCCAATGTAAGGTTGTTAGAAACATTAGACTGTCCTAATTTATGCAACTTTTGATTCATCCTGGATTACTTCACCGCCAAATCAACTACTACAAACTATTGTAATTTGACGTCACGCTTGCGTTGATTGGTGACAACAGTTCACTGCATTACGAATTGTCATATACTTTAAAACTCCTCAATTTTGGAATCGATCTCGAAAGATCATATTATAGCAATATCATGTACACATTGCAAGCTTGCGAACCTTGTAATGTCCATTGATTGTAAAAAGAAAGTATAAGAAACATGAACAGCAGGAGTGTAAATATGAGAGGCAGTGAGTGAAGTTGCAACCAAATAGTCGTCATTCATTGAAGAATGTTGAATGGAAGATGAAATTTTATTTGCAACGATCTAAACCATGAGAAAAAACAGTTCGCCTAGGCTCAAAGTTATGTAATTTTGTCTAAGTATATTTGCAATAGCACTCAATGGATCCAACTCTACCGACCTTCTCGCAGGCCCCTCCCATTGGAAACTTATACTCTATACAAGCCTTGTTGCAGTCAGGGAACTTTTAACACGGCCCTATGTCCGCTTTCTAGATTGTTACTTTTTTGACCTCCCTCGCAGTTGATCTTTCTAAGAGACGTGAATTCAAGAAATGTTAGCAATCAACACAAGACATAAAATCTATTGTTTTGAATAGATAAAAGCATCCCTCGAGCCTTTGGATTAGATATGGGTTTTGACGGTGGTCAAAATTGAAGCGTAATGAACTCGACGAAGGCTTACGAAACAAAATACAGCATTACCTGCGCAGCAAAGAGAAACAAGGCAAAGCATGCCGATGAATAAACAAACCCTTCCCGAAGCCATTTTGATGACCTTCTCTTCTCCTTCTTTAGGTTATGATTGTATTGGTCGTGAATAATTATGCACAATCGCAACTATATATAGGCAATTGGAGCACCACCGTAACAACCACTCCACGAGTATTGAATGCTAGCAGATCTTGGATAATAATTTACTACTGAGTCCCTTTTATGGAAAAATGTATAGACAATAGAATCCCGCCTTAAATGATATTAATGTGGAAGATAGAATAGAATCCCACCTTAAATGATATTAATGTGGAAGAGATAGAATAGAATCCTATTGAATATTTAATGGGATGCTGTGATATATGCACTTTCCCATAAACAAAAAATACCTTACTTAAATATACTATTGTTGACACCAAAAAAATATCAGGTCATGGTTATACAAATACTCACGTGCATATCACATGAGCGCCATCTTACACGTATTAATCTATCGATGAGCGCAGGAGTTAACATGTGGCTATCGATGACGATATTTTTTAATGCCAAGAGTATGATTGTTGACATATGATAACGGAGGGTTGATAATTGCCAATATGGGTGCCGATAGTAAATTCTCATTAAAAGTATTTCAAATACCACTTTAAACTTAAATCATCAAGTTGGTTGGCACTGAGGATGCACATTGTGGAGGTAATTGTTGCTATTTAGAAAACTAGTCATAGAACGATAATCGACGACTACGAAGCTATCCACACATGATGAAGGCAATTATTCAAGAACGTGGATGAGTAAAGCTTGTGGAAATAAAGGAGTATAGATGAGGTCAACGGGAGTTCTTTGAAGATGCATAATTGTTGAATATTGTCGAGGAGCAGTTACTACACCTTTGTTGGAGAAACATCTCCAAATAAATTTTGATGATACTCAAACTATCCTTTGTATAATATCTACGTTATCTAAGTGTAGATATATTTAACGGATTGAGTGATACTCATGGTGTAATTCATTGAAGAAAAGATCATAAGACTGTCCTTGAAGGATCATACAAACAACACCATCGATCACAAAAATCAGCTAAATGACGATGTCTCATTGAAGCTGAAAAGATCAAGTAAATGATAATATTTAGGTAACGGATCATTTAATATGACCGTTCTCTCACTATTATAGCCGTTGTTGACTGGACTTGCACAATAGAAGATCCGATAGAGAGGAGAACAGGTCGTTTGACAATTTGTCAGAGTCACAACTACAGAACAACAGCAAAAGCTATTTTAGGAAAGTCTGTAGAAGTTACAAAAAAGGCTGTATAGGCAGTCAGTTCCTAGGACAGCAGTACCAACGGCTATTTTGCTTCTCTAAGACATCATCAATGATTATATTGAAGATGCCTATGATAGAAAGGGTCTTTTGAAGTCAACAAGTTAAAGAAAGTGCTCATAAAATTCTAGAAATTGCTACACGCCGTATACTGAGCAAAAAACTCCTGTCTGATAATAGCACTTACTAGATTATGATTGTGTTTAAAGTTGAACTGTACCAAGTAATAATTGCACCCAATTCCTGATAATGTGATCTATCAATTTATGAGAGTGATGTATGCTGAGCGTAACTTGTTCAGTAATTTACTAGTGCAACCAAGCCCAAGTTTTGGCTGTTAGTTGTGAGAGTGGACGTAGGCTTGGAATCAAAGCCGAACCACTATATATCCTTGTGTGTAGCTGCTTATCCTTCTGTTTATCATTTCTAGCACATAAGTGAATCATTGCTTCTCATATATCTAGTGAAACCCAATATTTACTTATGACATCTTTTCCGTGAAAGTTTTTAAAATCTCTAAAGTAACCTATTCACCTCCTTTAGGTTGCAAAGTTAGTCCCAACAATAGTTACCAAAGGGTAAAAAGGTAACCGAAAGATAGTTTAAGACCGTTACCAAGGTATAAAGGACACTCCACCAACCGAGGATGAAGGTCGCAATCAATGAAATTCACTTCCAAGGCTTAATGGACAAGCCACTTGCCAAAGTTAAAGGACTTTGTGATAGGAGAAGCTCACCACCAAGGTCTAAAGGAAAACTACTAGCTGAGAATAAAGTTCTTATTAGCTCACCATCGATGAGTAATTTAATCTCCAAGAATAAAGAAACCGATATAGAAGTTATCCATTGTGACATCCTAAATTTCATCTAATCGATTAAGGTGCTATATGAAATGGAATTAGTGATGAGCAAGGTACGATTGTTTCGACGAGTTGGATTAATTGAGGGACCTTGATTTAAGATCCGTGAGGCACCAAAGTCATTTAAATTTGTGGGATTACTCGGAGGAATTTTAATTGGCGCATACTTGATGTACCGCTCGTACAAGGGTCATTAGATTGCTTAAATGAAAAGATATGAATGTGGAAATTTTATGGTATGATCTAATTAGAGGTATTAGAGCACAAAGTGTGCCCTAACACCCCATGTATGGCCGAACAAGAACTTGCACGGAGGGGGAGAAGTGGCCTTTTTCTTCCTTTTAACACTAGATTGCTTTTTGTCTTGTACATTTGTCACATTTTCTTGTCTTATTAGTTTGGAAATTAGTGGGTAACCTTGGGCACTCAAGTGTGCCGCCCACCCTTGCCTAATAAGGGTTCTTGCATGAAATATTCTTGCAAGAAAGCCACTCTAATCATTACTTAGAAGGTAGCTTGTAGCTCTTTTTCCTTATGCAAGATGATGAGCTCTTTCTCCCCTAGGCCCCTCACCGGCGTCCTTTCCTCCCCCCACGCCCATATCTCTCTCTCTCTCTCTCTCTCTCTCTCTCTCTCTCTCTCTCTCTCTCTCTCTCTCACGCCGCTTTCTTTTTCTCTCCGGCCAACAGCTGTCCATCGCCCTCACCGCCTTATCTCCTCCCTCGTCTCGCCAATAACAGCCACTGGAGGTTGCATTTAACCTTATTGAAGGATCCCCTAAAGCTCTAGATCAAGGCAAGGGAACTTAGGCTTGATTTTAAGGCCTTCAATCTATGCCCATTCTTAGCACCTCTCTTGTGTATGTGTGGATGTGTGTTTCTTCGAGTTTTAAGGTTTAAATGTGAATGAAAGTTGCTATTTGAGCTTGCATGGAAGGAACCGAGAATGGTAGTGCTGGTGCATGTGTAATTCTAGAGCCCAAGGGCATTCTAGCCATAGATTTAAGCTCGGTGAGCCTCGCACGTGGATTTTGAGTCTCTCGAACCAAGTTATATGCAAAGGCAATGAACTTATGACTTCTATATGTTTGATAGTTGATTGATAGTTTGTTGTGGAAGGGAAGGAAGATCCGTGAGCTTTGTCAACACCAAAATGGGTGAAAAGTACATGAGGACCTAGGAGGGGTAGATCTGGTCGCCCAGAGCTTCGTTCTTTCTTCATTTTTTTTGTTCCATCTTGAAGAGTCAAAATCTTAAGTTGAGTCCTTCATAAAAGTTGCTAGAAATCCTTCCCTTTATAACATAGTTTAATTTGAGGTTTTTCCAACGTGATTTGGGTAGGACGATGGTCTATTTTCCTCACCATGCTCAAGATGTTTTCTGCACTATTTCAGTGACCTTTCTGTCTTCTCAATTTTCTGTACAATTTTCTAGAACGATTCTGAGAAACTTCATTCATAAAAGTTCTTGGAGACATCCTCTTCTACAACATATTTTAAATCCAAAATTTTTAGAAGTGATTTGGGTCCTGGAGAGTTATTTTTGAGAAACAATAATTCTATTTTAGTGAAAAGTTTTGTTTTGTTCCTGTCTTGAGCCACAAAAAAAAAGTACTTACCAAGGTTTTTAGTGTTCAAGTCCTCCATGAAAGTTGTTCATTTAGGTCTCTCCTAACACATATTTAAATTAGATAATTTTTGGAGGTTTCTTACTATAGCTGGTGTCCCAAATTCGTCGAGAGTGTAAAACAAGTTGATTCTGTACAGTTGTAAAAATTCCCTATTTTCTACTTGAAAACGTGAGAATTGTGGTCCGAGGCCTTCTGAGAATGTGATGTGCACATCATGAGCTTTCAAATGAAGTATGGTTGGCCTTAATTGGATGAGAAATGGATAAGGAAATGGGATGACCTTGTGGGTGCAATTATGGTGATAGTGATGAGTGATTAAATTGCAATGATTTATATGTGATACTATCATAACGTCGTGGTGATATGTTATTGTGAGTTTATGGATATCAGTATTATATGATCTTATCATATTGAGTATGGATTTGAGATATTGAGCACCGCCTACAGCCAGCATCCCGTAGATGCCTACGGATGGCAACCCGTAGATGTTGATGCCTGTGGCCAGCTAAGTCTTGGTCAGCGAACCGAGAGTTTCCCGATGACAACTGGGTAGGGTGTCGGGAGGAGATGCCTGTGGCCAGCGTCCCACAGATGCCCCGGAGTGAAAGCCCATGGCCAGCGACCCGTGGAAGTCTGGTCCGTGGACTGAAAGTGACCCGCACGGACTGGCTTGCCCCCAGTTGAACTGTGAGATAGGGGTGGACCTGATATGATGATGATGGGAATATATGATACAAATGCATGTGATGACTATGAATCTTATTTTGGTGATTATGAGACTTATTCTGTTGGCTAATTCGGCTAATTCTGTTTGCATGATTATTCTTGGAGCATGTGTTATTGTTGATGCTATGTTGATTGTGCTGGAATTGGAATTGGTTAGATCTTTGGGTTTAAGAAATTGCCTTGTTTTCCTGCTGGGCAAAAGCTCACTCTTGTTGATTTAAACATTTTCAGATCGCTGAGATGAATGCCCAACCTCCAACTTGATATGGAACATATTTCTTTGTTGATACTGTTTGGGATGATGTGATCTTTCCTAGGTCTACTACTGTATATACTTGTCAGGTTATTATCGTTTGGGTAGATGTGGGGAGGCTTCCTCATGTTTCTTATAAATTTGTAGCATGGTTTGAGAACCGACATGGAGAGTTGTTAGAATCCTTGTGTTTTTGAGACGATGGTGGAAGTGGTGGTGACGGCGGCAATGGAACTAGCGGAGCGAATGGTGTTAATGGAGGCG